TAAATATATACGAGTATCGAGCACTTGTTTTCATTTATTTACTTTGTTGGAATATTTGATTTCGATTCATTTTAAAAATTAAGAAAATAATCAAGAAAAAAAAAGATTCGCTTCTTGAGAAACTTTAATCAGAATTTCTCATCTACTTACATTTTCTTTCAAAACATAATAAGCTCTATTATACTTGGGAAATTAAAAAAATTTCTGTTAATAGAACTGTTAATAGAACCCATTCCAATATGAGTTATGAGTTATACATACAGTTGAATTTTTTATTCCTATATATTTAATAGAAAAAATTACATAACTTTCGAATAAAAGTTTAATGGATATAAAATTTGATAAATAAAAATTTAATTTGCATATAATGAAAAAAATTATTCTAAATATTTCTAAATATTTTTCTAAATTATTCTAAATATTTTTCTCTCTCTTGAACATAATATTGAGATACTTTATATAAAAGAATATTAATTAGTAATAAATATTTTATTACAATACTTTTATTAAAATACTTTTTTAGAATCCTTGAAATTAAAAGTTAAAACATATGCATTATATATATATATATATATATATATATATATATATAATGATATTAAACAGGTCACTAATTAAAAAAGAGGGAGAACGATATAAATTAATTTTATTTTTAGACTAATCAATAAAATATAAGTAATGAGAGAATTATTAAAGTAATATCCTAATGATCGAATTAAATGATAAATAATAAATTAATTACAAATTGCTTACTTCACATTGCTTTTACTGCTTCTTCATGATCGTTATATAAAATTCATTCGCGAAAATATTGTTAATTATGAACGTGCTCGTATTAATCGTAGAACATGATCAGTAGAATCATACGATTCTTTGGACGTTAATCGCAAGATATGCGCATTTTATTACACGAGTCTATCAGAAATCGACTCGATCAACTCTAGTTTTTGTAATTTTCTTTAAATTTTAGTACCAGAGTAATATGATTAGTATTCTGGTATTAAAATTAAGAAATCTACAAAAATCGGAATTGATCAATTTGATTGGCGATGATATGTATGAAATAATATAATGAAAGAGCAGCATGTGAAATATTTATATGGTAAATTACGATTCACTCGAAAATCGCGAAAATTTCAAATGCACGTCGTCGCATTTTACGCTAACATTTTACAGGAACTTTATCTCACATTATAACAAAAGTGAATAAATATATAAGTTGGAATGAAAGATAAATATTCGCGGACGGCGATATTGGAAAATATAGTTTAATTCGTCGACTTTTTGCACGCTATACATTTCGCGAAATGTACATATGCGTAATTAATAAATGATAAACATTTAGTTGTCTATTTTATTATTTATCAATCGTGTGGCGCAAAATTTAGATGCTTGTATATTGATGAATATATTGATGGTATATTTGATATAATACATTTCATCGATATACCCTAATAAAAGTACGGAATATTATTTCTTAATTATATTATTAATTATTAATTATTAATATTATTATTAATATTAATATTATTATTATATTATTATTATTATATTAATATTAATATCATTAATATTAATTTTTCATGCGTGTATTTGTTTACGTCACAATATAATTATAATCGATCGTACATAATTATTTATCAGCGAGAAAGATAGCAGCAATATTCGAGTGCCAAGAGTGGATCTTATTCCCATCGCAATATAACAAAGTACGCGTATAATTAATATCGGAAGTGTCGTGCGATCGACTATATCTTGCTGATTAGCGCGCGCGCGCGCGCGCGCGATCGTAATTAATTCGCGAGTGAGTTTTCGTACATGTATTATAAAGGAGCAGCAGGAAAGATAAACGAGATGGGAGAAAGAGCAGGAAGTTGAGGTGATCAATTGATATATTATTATTTTCTTCGTGCACATATTTGTTCTCTTTTTTCCGTCCTGTTTGATTAATGAAAGTTTATTCCTTTTCCCGCGTTGTTTTCCTTCAAAATAAAATAAAGTATTTACCTATCTTGCGCATATATTCGCTATCCAATCTCGCTGATATTCATCCACTTAAAAGCTTCCGCAAACAGACGTTTCGCGAAATCAACATAACGCGGCTCGATGGATTAACGCAAAATGTCATTGCAATGTTACGTCTCTGTTTGCGTGCGTTTTCGCGAGAATGGAGATCGAGGCTCTCTTGTTTTTAAATTTAAAAGTCGTGCCTGAGACGGCTCTCTTTTCATTCGATTCATCTAGTATCGAAAAGACATCGGCATTTTATGCAGCTTCCTCGGATGTATGCGTTTTTGACGATCCATCCGTAACAATGGCTGCCGGGAAAAACGCGTTTCGCATCCGCGCGTGTGTAATTGAAAATGAAAAGATGTATCATTTTCTCGATATGTCGTAAGAAAAATTGGATGTAACGTATCGATGTACGTATATACTCTCGTAATAATCCTCCTGCTCGTGTTTTACGATAACTCAAAGTCTTTGTTATGACGTAGTAAAACAGCAAAAGTCTCTTTCAATTTATTATCCCTTCCTTTCCGTTTGTTTTTTCCCATCCCCATTTTTCTCCCGAAAAATCCTGACTGCGTAAGAGATGGCGCGAGACGGGAAACTTTTCGGAAGGAACGGAAGTAAATTTCCCGGTTAAGACAAATATGTCAGGTGTTACATCCTCGGCGTCACTTTATTTGAAAGGAGGATAGAACAAACAGCCGGTTGGTCAGAGAGAGACTTGGTCGGAGAGAGTGAAAAATTTTTGCCGACCATACGTCGGAGATAGTCCCGGACATATTTGCCTGGCAAAAGCTTCGGACTAAAGAGGATTGGAGAGAGAGTCAAAAACAGGGTGGACATATTGTCACGGTGGCATCGCGCCAGTGTTTCTACGGTATCTGAGAACGTAAATTGAATCGTGTATTGGTCGACGATAAATCTGGAAGTCGTCCCACGTACCATATTTCCATCAACGAAATCTCTCGATCGAATCTCTTGCCTTTTATTTAATTCTGTCTCGATGAGAGCGGGAGGGAGACGCATGATTTATTCATTTATTTAGTCGAGAATAATGTTCGCGCGAATTATCGAGCAAATAGAAACGCAATGACAGCCATCTCGGCGATATAGATTGAACGTACAATAGCGTAGGAGAGAAAGATGTATTGCTCGCTACAGATCCCAAACGCAGCGAACCAATCACACGTTCGACATGGCACATTCATGAAATAATTTCCGCCCCTTTGACCGAAATATTAGCAGTCGGATATTCAATGGCTTATGCTCATAACTCTATTTAGCGCCTTTCATTCAACGCGTATGTGTGTATCGGGGGAATAATAAAATTCACACATAGAAAATCAGGTCGCCGTTTAATCAAGCTTGGCCGACACGGACCAAAAACATATCGTCGAGCATAGTTTCCGCGAATCGATCGCATCGTGTGTACTTGTTTAATCATTCGTTTACGAAATGGACGAGCAATCGATATGATTCCTAATAACTTTGACATTACGGTCTGTACCTTTTGCGAAAGCGCTCCAATTATTGTAAACAAGGTCAATCACGACATCGGGACATGAGACACGAAAACTGTCTCGTGGTAATGGACGTTTTGGAAATAATTTCATTACGTCATTTCTACACTGAGGAAAATCGTTTGTACCAACAAGACGTATATGACTGAAGGCATTTTGGTTAAATCAAACAAGAATTTCTAGTTATCATGATAAGACTCGATTTTTTATAACTAGAACGTTTAATAGATTTTACTATAAGGATTTGGTTAGTATTTTCTGGTTGGATCTATAAAATTTCTTGTTACATTAATTTCTTTGCTTGCTTCTTAACTTAACTCGTATTCAATATTTGCCATGAAATGTATATAAAGAACTAGTATTAACGTTAAATCCAAAGTATATTTTTTTCTCTTACGAGCAGTAGTGCCAGAAAGAGGACGCTAGCTCTTTGATTGTATGTTTTTGAGCTGCATCCTCTTCTTGCATCACTGTTTATCAGTTTAATTTCTAACAAACCGAATTTAAAATAATTTATTCAATAATTTTGATTGAATTTATCCAATAATCTTGTTGGAATTCAGAATATTAAACAGACTTTTGAGATTAGATGGAAAAAATTTTAGACGACTTGGTGCTGGCGAGTTTAGTATCATTAACCAGAAAATTTGGTAAATTTAACAGGAAAAAATTAATCAGAATTATCTGGTAATTCCTACAAGAATTCTGCACTGAGAAAAATCGTTTGATTGTACCAACAAGATGTATATGATTGAAGGCATTTTGATTAAATCAAACAAGAATTTCTAGTTATCATGAGACTCGATTTTTTACAACTAGAACGTTTAATAGATTTTACTATAAGGATTTGGTTAGTATTTTCTGGTTGGATCTATCAAATTTCTTGTTACATTAATTTCTTTGCTTGCTTCTTAACTTAACTCGTATTCAATATTTGCCATGAAATGTATATAAAGAACTAGTATTAACATTAAATCCAAAGTATATTTTTTTCTCTTACGAGCAGTAGTGCCAGAAAGAGGACGCTAGCTCTTTGATTGTGTGTTTTTGAGCTGCATCCTCTTCTCGCATCACTGTTTATCAGTTTAATTTCTAACAAACCGAATTTAAAATAATTTATTCAATAATTTTGATTGAATTTATCCAATAATCTTGTTGGAATTCAGAATATTAAACAGACTTTTGAGATTAGATGGAAAAAATTTTAGACGACTTGGTGCTGGCGAGTTTAGTATCATTAACCAGAAAATTTAGTAAATTTTACAGGAAAAAATTAATCAGATTCATCTGGTAATTCCTACGAGAATTCTGTTTCGTCCATTTTCCAACAGACATACTGATTGAATCTACCAGAATTCGAATTAATGCAACCAGATTTTTCTCAGTGTAACAATGTAATATCGTTTGTTTCAATCTTTCAGTCTTTAATTGCGCCGTCCCATCTCAATCTTTCCCATTATCTGTCCATAGATGAAACATCTGCCGGCAATTTGAGAAGTTGAAAGGACGAGGCAACCGACCAGTATCGACAGCAGTTATCAGATGACAGCTTCCACAGAGACGGTGAGTCTTATTCTTTCTTGATTATTATTCTTACGTCGCAATCGCGAGGACGGTAAGAAACGAGACACCGAGGGAAAGGAAATTATTTCGTAAAGAGAAAGAGTATAAATTTCATTCTTTTGTAATACGCGGATGATTACCAGGATTCTTCAAGTAGCCAAGGTGAGCCGAGGGCGTGCTTTTTAAGCTTTCCCGTATTCCCTTAATTTTTCTTGTTGCTCTCTTCTTTTCCCCGACGCTTCTTTCATCCCCGATCTCGGATCTTTCTTCTCATCCCCTTTCTTCCTCGACAGCGCGTTCTCAAAGAAACGTCTGTTGAATTATTACCCTCAAGAGAGACCAACTCTGGAATTTAACGCACGCACATCCCACGCGAAACGCATCTTTTTCATCGATTTCGCGAGATATTCATTTCATTCTCCAAATACTTTTAATAATTAAACGTTAATTTCGCAAAATTGTCATTTCGCGCATTGCAATTTCGAGTAAAGCTCTAAATCCCCGAGATAATGATATTGTTAAACATTGTTAATTACGAAATTGATTGTTTTCCCGCGCATTTTATCTTCTCTATCAAAGGGGGGAGGTTGAAAAAAATTTTTTATACCACTGCAATGACGGACAGAAATCGATAAAGGCGCATAAAAATTTGCCTCGCTCCACTCGATCATTCCATTAGTTTTGACGCTATCGCGACGCGATCGGTCTTGTCGAGGAGCTTTTTTTCCGCGGCGTTTTTCAAGTCGCGCGAATTAACAGCGGTACCGATTATACGATCCATTTACATCCCGCGTTTTCCCCGCCCCGTCGACAGACAGAGGCGACAGACAGGGCTGTTTCCGGGCCGCGAGCCCATTTTCCGCCCTCCCAAGTATACGCTTCGATGGTTGACACTCCGGAATATTATCATTCGGCTATAGAGAGCGGTCTTCCATTATCTATTCGCGCTACAACTACTCGAAGCTGCGGCCGCACCATTAAAACTAACGGAGGTCAATTTGTCCCCGCGCGCCACTCGACCTTGTATTAACATTCGGCGGAATAAACGCCGCTCGAAATCCAATCTCCTCGTTCCTGCGATTGTTAATAACCTTGGTCACGCTGGAGCGTGACTTTGAGACCCTTTTTTTTTTGCTTAAAAATGCGATTAAGCAAGCGGCTTGTCTACGGCTCGTCGAATAAAATTATAATCGGACTCGACGGAATCTTGACCAGGACCCAACCTTGTCCATAAAAAAACTCGCCTTATTATGCGTAAACGATTTTATATATATATATAAAAGAAGAAATACATATGTCAATATATCAGTATGTGAGCAGTGAGTAAAGCAGCATGTCGAGGTAAAAAAAAAAAAAAAAGAAAAAATGAGAAGCCGTTCCCCCCTCCCCCCATCGCGTTTACTCCAAGTCGCCTTTTATCGCGTCGCTCGTAACGACGCTTTTTACGACTAGTAGACAGGTTTGATCTTTATTAATTTCGTACAATAATGCGCGTTATACCCGAGTACGCCTGCGGCACGCTCGGTAGGGGCCGGGGGCCGGGGGGGGGGTTGAGGAAAGAAGGGGGAAAGGGGAAAATGGCGAAGCGCGAGGGGAGGGAGGGCGGATGGATAAAGACTGCGAATGGAAAAGCCGAGGGTGGAAAAAGGAGGGTGGAAAACGACCTGACTCGTTCCTCTCTGTGGTTCGTTTTAATTTTCCGCGCTCTGCCTCCGAAGCGTTCAAACGCTTTACAACGTTGCTGCCTATACCCACTTTCTTGCACCCCCTCTCCTCACCCCCCCTCGCTCTTCTCGCGGCGATCAAAGAGCCCGGATCCTCGCATCCGCGAGGAGATCGAGCGCGCATCGATGCGTTTCGATAACCGCAACCGATAATGTTTTGCGCGCAAGAATCATAGAAAGCGCGTGTCGGAAATTGTTTTTGCGTCAGGTGATATTTCGCGCGCGCGCGAAATATCAATCTGCGGATAATGAAAAATAAAAAGAAGGGAGCAGGAGGGATAAAAACCCGCTCTCGTTCGTCCGTTCGTAAAATTATAAATATTTTCGGAACGACGATACTCTTTCCTACCCCCCCCCCTCCTCCCCCCCTCGGATCCTGAGTGTATATGTACGTCAAGCGACAATAATAACAGTTGCAACGCGCAGTGTAACTGTAACTGCGCTCGCGCTGACGGTCCATAAATCTTGAATTAAGCGCGTGACGGTCACTTGAATTTAATCTACCCGATACTATTAAGATAACACCGTTCCTAATGATAATCCGAGCTTCGTACGTATATAGGGTGTTTTTTAATAAGTGCGGAGATGTGTTTAGGAGATGATTCTTTGTCGAAAATTAAGGGGGGTTATTCATATAAACATACCCTGCCTGTGAAGTTACATTACTCCAAAAATGGGGGTGAAAATTAGATTTTTATTCTTTTCTCAAATTTGGAACGAGAATTAAAGAAATGAAATTAGGTGGATATTTTCTACTACACTGAGAACAAAATCTGGTTGCATTAATTAGAATTTTGGTATATTCAACCAGTATGTCTGTTGAAAAATGGACGAAACAGAATTCTTGTAGGAATTACCAGATGAATCTGATTAATTTCTTCCTGTCAAATTTACCAAATTTTCTAGTTAATAATACTAAACTCGCCAGCACCAAGTTGTCTAAAATTTTTTTCCATCTAATCTCAAAAGTCTGTTTAATTAATGAATATTCTGAATTCCAACAAGATTATTGGATAAATTCAATCCAGATTATTGAATAAATTATTTTAAATTCGGTTTGTTAGAAATTAAACTGATAAACAGTGATGCAAGAAGAGGATGCAGCTCAAACACACACACTCAGAAAGCTAGCGTCCTCTTTCTGGCATTACTGCTCGTAAGAGAAAAAAAATATACTTTGGATTTAATGTTAATATTAGTTCTTTATATACATTTCATGGCAAATATTGAATACGAGTTAAGTTAAGAAGCAAGCAAAGAAATTAATGTAACAAGAAATTTTATAGATTCAACCAGAAAATACTAACCAAATTTTTGTAGTAAAATCTATTAAACGTTCTAGTTATAAAAAATCGAGTCTTATCATGATAGCTAGAAATTTTTGTACGATTTAATCAAAATGCCTTCAATCATATACGTCTTGTTGATACAATCAAACGATTTTTCTCAGTGTAATAAAAAGGTTATTTATTAATATTTTTTTCAGCCTCCCGTATTGATATAAGGGGATGAAACTAGCAACTCCTATTCAATTTTTTATTACAACTTTTTAATGCTTATATGAAAAACTCTCTTAATTTTCGATAAAGAATCATCTCCTAAAATTGTTCGCAATTATTAAGAAACACCCTATGTGTGTGTGTGTGTACGAATGCGATTCTCGAAGAGGGGAGGAAAACATTTGAAACGTGAGTACATTCTAGCGGTACTCCTCTCTCTCTCTCTCTTTCTCTCTCTCCCTCCCTCCTTCTCTCTCTCTCTCTCTCTCTATCTCTCTCTCTCTCTCTTTCTCTTTCTCTCTCTAGTCGTGGACTCTCTAGCGACGTACTTATACTTTGATGCACTTGGAGCCATTTGGTCGCGGGAGCGTTTCTCGGGCCGTAAAGCAGAAAGAGCCGAAAGTGTATCCAACGAGAGAGACTCGTTAGAGAGAAGAGCGGAGTTGGGAACCGAGAAGGGGAGTCGTAATATCGTAGTCGGGTACTCGTCGCGCGATGTACGACGACAATCAATCAGAATTTTCTCGTCGGTGCACGGACGTTGCATGTACGGTACGTACCTATGTACGTTCCAATTCCTAGACTAAGGGGGGTCGTTGAACTGCTTCCGCGGCGCTGCATCCAAAAATACATGGGAATTGGGGAGAAGCTGCCCGTGCGCCTGGAAACGTAAACGGACGACAGCAGAGGGATAAAGGCGACAAAGAGAGAAACTGAGAGAGAAAGAGAGAGAGAAAGAGAGAGAGAGAGAGCGAACGGTGTGCAAGATCACAAACGGATGCACAGAGAGGACATAGAGGAGAATGTGCAGGAAAACGTGCACCAAGGGAGACGCGCTACTAAAGAGAAATAGAGAACGGCCGGAGGTAGAGAGGAGAAACGACGAACAAGGTGGAAAAGCGCATTCCGATGTCGGCGACGAGGCGGCAAGGAGAGTGGTGAGGTGGGGCGGACGGGCGGGGGATGGGGGGAGGACAGGGCGAAATTTGGGAACTGAAGAGCGGATGGAGGAAGAGAGGGAAACGCGGAGAGGAAGAGAAAGGAGAGGACCGACGGTGGAAGAAGCGCGATGAGAGAAACACGGACTCCCCCTCTCCCTCCTCCCCCTCCCCCTCCCCTCGTCCTCTTTCCCTCGGGTGACAAACAGTGGACCGTAGTCAAGCTAGCGGAGCGACGGTGCGGATGAATATATATCGCGATGCGACTCCTCTTCGCGAAGTTAGGGACTCCTTTCTCTCACTCTCTCTCTCTCTCTCTCTCTCTCTCTCTCTCTCTCTCTCTCTCTCTCTCTCTCTCTCTCTCTCTCTCTCGCTCTCTCTCTCTCTCTCTCTCATCTATTCTTTCCACGCGGTTATTACGCGTAGACAGTTTTGGATCAAAAAAAGAAAGGAGGAGGGAGGGGGATGTAAGAATGGGATTTAAAAGTTCCGAACAAAAAAGGAGGACCGATCGAAAACACGTGAATACTACTTTGCGCTCCGAGCTTACTTCACTTTCGTTTATATTGAATCCCGCCGGTTATCCCGTATAAGGGTAGCGGTCGAAGTTGGCGACTTGAAGAGCGATTTTTTTCCCCCTGTTTTTTCTTCTTTTTTTTTTTCGCTAATTAGGATCCCGTCGATGTTTCAACGGAGCATTGTTTGCGTGTACTTTTAATATTTTTTCCCTTTACTCTTTTTTACTCCGAAACACAGAAGTAATCTGCGTATTAATTTGCGAGGAAATATCTGTAAACTCGTTATCCGGTGGCGCGCTTTAGTCTCTTTCAGGGCGTACA